AAGCAATCTTGATCTTCTTCAATCCTTTGAAGTGGTTTATTGCATTGACCACGTCCTTGGTAAACCTCTCTTTCGACGGATAGGCCCATATGACGCCTGTGTACCTGTCACGAATGACGAAGATCTCTCGATCAGTACTGATCCCTTGATCAAGGATGTTCCTCGTATCGACAAAATCAAAGGTAACCAGATCTCCAAAAGCTTTGAGCTTTCTCTTGAACGCTCCTCGATGCGTCTTGAAGTGTTTCATCTTTGCTCTGATGCATGACTCACAGTAGGGATTCTTGTAACGATGTGTGAGTAGATGCTCGATTTTCCTGGCATCTGCTTTCAGAGTTCCTCTTCTCACCATTCTACTTGCACCGTCAACAACATCCACCTCGATGTCATCTGCATCATCATCGTCAGCTTCTGGTTCACTGTCTCCGGCGACATCTGATCCTACCTCATCTTCTTCTCCAGGAGATGCCTTGAACTTCTTATTCCTCTTTCGCCTTTTGACTTTTGGAGGCTCAATCACAGGGAGGTCGTCATCATCACACATGATTCCTTGAGGATCCACATCACAGTTGATGAAAGTCGATTGGTAATCAGCTTCATCTTCTCCTAGGGTGAACCTTGCGATCATCTCCGCCCTTGTATCGTCGGTGGGAGTACAGAAGTCACTGCCCTTGACAATATATGGGATGTTTCCCTCTACTTCTAACATGATTTTCTTGTAGTTCGGGGAAACCATGTACGGGTTGCCGCAGGCTGGCCATATGAATGTGTATCCTTCCTCCATGCATTTCTTTCCAACAGACAGTACTGAAGGAGACTCATCTAGGACGAATGGGGAGTAGGTAGAGTCAAATTCGTCGAAATGAATGTCGGCGACTCCTTTTGTGGATGTCACTCCATTTGCAGTATAGAATGACATTGATTGGTCGCTTTCTCTCACTTCCAGACCTAATTTCTTGGCTCTGCCTTTCGATATCAAATCATATCCACATCCTGTGTCCATGATGAACTTCGTTCTTGACCCTTTGGCTGGAATAGACAATGTCTTTGTGTCTGCATGATCTTTCTTTCCCTCGCATACATGAGGAATGACTTTATGATGGAAAACTAGGCCGTCATCTTCGTCAAAAGACATAGTGACCGATAGGTCACCCTTTGGTCCAACTGGTATTCGGACCCTCTTGATCTCAGTGTAGGGGACCATCAATATGCCTCTCGCCTCTGCGACCTTTTCTTCAAATCTGATTTGTTCTTTCCTCGTGTAGCAGGTGAGCTCTTTCTCATCGTATCGTTTGATGTCTGGACGTAGAGGTTTCCTTTCTACTACCTTCCATTTGTTCCTGACTGAGTAGATCGCTTCGTTCAACATGATCTCACAAGTCTCTTCATCAAAGGATACTTTTGCACCTCCTTCTCTTGCCTTGGCGGATGCAGCAACCCCTTCATCTTCGGATTCGTCCATGAAGAGTTCACCGTCAATGGCTGGGGCTCCAGGCTTCGCCTTAGGCTTCGGTTTGGGTTTTGCCTTGGGCTTTGGCCTATCGTCTCCTGAGTCAGCTGGTGCAGATATCCCTTTCTTAGGAGAGGCTTTTGGGTCATGGTAGAACTTGCAATCCTTCCCTTTATCACAAGTTCCTCGAATCCACATCCAACATACTGGCTTGTCATTCTTTCCGACAGAAGATCCTCTGGATGGTGATCTGGGTTTCTTGTGACTGAATGGGCAATCTTTCCCCATAGTGCAGTTACCTTTCACGAAGTATTTGCATGGTATCTTCTTCTTGTCTGTACTCGAACTTCGGCTGCGATCCTTTCCATCACCTTTACCTTTCCCCTTTCCCTTTTTGTTCTTGTCTTCAGGATGCTTCTTGGGATTGGGTTTCGGCTTCACTGCAGCAGCGTCTTCTGAGACAACCTGTTCTTGTTGCCCTTTTGGTTTCTTCTTCGGATCAGCTGGTGCAGCTTTCAGTTTTGGAGCAGGTCCGCCTGGTTTGAGATTCTGAAAGATAGGCCACATTCTTCACTGCCTTCTCCTTTTCCAGGATCATCCTGTCTTCAGTTTGCCGTTCGATGTGCCTTCTGATCATATCACGTAGATGTTTGTATGTCTTCTTGGCATCATCGTCGTTCATGCTGTTGTAGGCGCTGATGTCGTATGCCATGAGGTTTGAGTTCCTGATCTTTCTCCATAGGAGATCCCGAAGAGTTTCGTCGCTCGGGACGTCAACGGGCTTCATTCCTGCCAGAATCTCATCCCAAGTGTGGAAGAACAACGATAAGTTCTTGTCTCCTTGATATTCTAGTTGGTAGAGGTGCATTGAAGTATATAAGACTTCCACATTTGATGTTGTCTTGAAATTCATAAGGATCAGGGCTAGGACCTCTCTTCCCTTTATGAGGCTTGATGTTCTCCCTTTTGCATTGATCCTCGTCCTCAACTTCATAGCTACACCTGAACCATCATCTTTCGCATCCATGACGACCTTGGTAAGAGCTAGGCCGAGTTTGGCATCGATTGAATGGAATCTTTGGTCTCCTGAGTCGACAAACTTGTCCGGATCAGGGTCGTCCATGGCTTCTTTGATCCAGTCGATCCAGGGCTCTTGATCTGAATCATTGGCCGCAATGATGATCGATTGAATAAGATTTGCCTTCCATAGTCCAAGATCATTGATCCTGGGCCATGACGGAACGTTTATCTTTGATTCTTCCTTCCTCGATACTTTCATGATTGTAGAGGTTGCCGGTGCAAGATGAGATGAGGAGGATGCTTCTGCTTCTGAAATCTTGTCCCTCAATGATTTGTTCGCCTCGGATAGCTCAATTGATTTCTCCCTTTCCTCGGCGTACTCATTGTGGGTTTCAGCATACCATTCATACATCTCATCTCGGCTCTCTGTCATTTCATTGTACCCGTCCTTGTAGTGCTTCGCCTCCTCTTTTGCGTTCCGAATCTCATCTTCCTCGGATGCGTGGGTTGGTAACCCGCGGTCTCTGGAACTAGGACGCTTGCTATACCGAGAGACTATGGGTGCCATTCGTGCTTCTGCTTTTAATTTCGCATTTTCCATAATGACATTCTTTGTCTCCTTCTGGCTTTCCAATAGTGCATTCTCCAGTTCTCTGATCTTCTGTTGAATTTCAGCACCATCATCGCCGAACATAGGAGCTCTCATCATATTCTCTCTTTTCAGCTGTGCGTTGGCTTCGGATAGAGCGAGGTTGGCGTCTTTCAATTGTTGTCGTTCACGGATGGAACCTTCTAGGGCTTCGTTGTTGAGTATTTCTCCTTTTGCGATAACCTCCTTTGCGACGTTTGCTTCGTATTCATGGTGGCTCGCCTTCATTTCTGCCATTTCTTTAGCAGAGACTTCAGTCTGGCATACAAACATCTCCATCCTCATGCCCACTTCCATCTCTTCTATCTCCGCTCTCGCGTTGAGTTCAGCTCCACGTGCCATAGCTAGTTGACCTCGTAGATGATCAATAACCATAGCTTCCTGATTGCTCTGATCTTGAGATGAGTGAACACTGTGTTGAAGACGTCTTTCCCTGACCTCACTGTTCCATTGTTCTTCTCTCTGGTGTTGGATCACCTCGTGCATGTTGACATTCTCATCCTGTAGCGCAATCATTCTAGCTTGTATCTGGTCAGCTATTCCGACGAAGGCTGTGTTCTCATCCTGAATGGCTTTTGATCTTCTATTGATCGCCAATGAAGATTCATTCTGTTCTTGGATGTGTCCAATTGCTGCTTGAAGCTCTTGGGACATTCTGTCCTTCGTTGCTTTCACAGATTCAAGCTCTGAATGTTCTTGATGAGTTTCTTGTGCAAGCTCTTGATATCTCATGTAGATATGTTCAGCTGTCGATTCCGCCAAGCGTAGCTTGTGTTCGAGCTCTTCAATTCTTATTGTCGCTCCTTCATCTTCCTGTGTCATCTCTTGTAGATGTTCCTGCATCTTCCTGTTGTAGTCAGACATTTGCCTGAACTCCACTTCAGCCTCGTGGTGTAGTCGTGAGTATCCGGCTTGGATGCATTCATATTCTTCATGAAGAAAATTGTATGCGTTTCTCGCCGATCTCAATTCTTCACCCAGCTGAATCTCTCTTCTTTGCTCTTTTGTTCCTCTATCATCGTCACGTCTCTTCTCTATACTCCTTCTTGGGGATCTCGCGGTAGACGTTATAGGCGATGTAGATCTTGTTGTAGCTCTCATCGATCTTCTTGGTCCTACGGGTGCAAGATCGGTCAGATTCCGAGCCGGTGGCACGGATCTTTCCGAGATTTGTGATCCAGTAGGCATAGTGATAACGTCAGCATTTGCTGATGAATCAGTACCCATTGTAGAGTCTGGTGACGAAATGGTGTTGGGACCACCAGGAGCAGCGAATGAATAGGGTTCGCTTCCATTTCCTCCTGAGCTTGACATTGCAGGTTTCTGTAATGACTAGTCTTGTTCTTGGTCTCGTGTAGCTCGTACGGCTATAAAGAGCGCGTACGGCTGATAACCTGCGAGTGGATCTTAATCAGCGAAGTTTGAAGCTATCACTGACGGTCCATAAGCGGCGTAGCGTCGGAACGGAAACCGCACCTTTTCTAGTCGCTTGATCCTTGAGCCAAAGTACATATGGTACATATATATATGTACAAGTTGCACTGTACGTGTCGCTGCACTTCCATTCGCAAAAAGCATATCTTGCTAAGTGTCCAAGGCTGTCCAACAGTGGAGTCTTGTCTACACTGCCAAAAAGAATCAATTTCCGCTTATTATATATTCAGAACTCCATATGGCTGGATATATTTGTTGAATCTTCCATCTATGTCAAATCTTGACTGTTCAATCTATAGTTCGTTCATGTTAGTTCAAAGAGCTTGCTCCATGCAGAGTGCATGTTCATCCACCCCCAACCCGAAACGACCGCACGGCGCATACCGCGCGACACCGCTGTGCTGCTGCGTGCTCCCTCCCTCCGGTGTCCGGACCCCGCCCAGGCGCCGAGAGGTGCAACGTGGCCTGGAAGGTGGGCCCTGAACCTCGGTGGTGTCTAGTCCCATCCAGGGGCTGTGAATGTGACAGGTTCGCACCCCCCCTAACCTCTTCAGGTTGGTTTTCATCGCGCCCTCTCCAACGTTGGTCTCTCTGCTGGTGCCACGTTGGTCTCTCCAACGTGTGTGTCTCCAACGCGCCGGCGCCCAGGGCGGCTCCCCCCGCTCCGCTGGGCGCTCTGCTCGACGACTCCAAGGCGCCCTGGATCTTGGTGTGCAGGACCTGGACATCGGTCGCCGGTCGGATCGGAGGTCGAAGGCGAAGGCGAAGGCGAAGCTCCGGAGATCCCGAGGGGTGTTTGTCGTGGCACCGGGGGGTGGCAAAGGATGGGTGGCAAAGGATTGGTGGCAAGAGGTTCACCTTAGGTTGGTTGGTCGGAAAATATCGGGTTCACCTCTGGTTCACCACCTGTCAACCACTCTGGCGCCACAACTCGACCGGAGCGGCCTCGACACGATGGCCGGACGCAGTGTGAAAAAGGGACATCGAGTGAACAAAAAGAAAGAAACCACGCATTAAACACCAGAGTCTTCAAGTGGGAAGTCTCAGGTTTTGAGTGTTCTTCCGCCCCCTGTCAGCAGTCGTTCTGGCTCACTGAAGAAAAACATAGAAAAACCCTCCAAAAAATGGTTGCTGGTCCACCGACTAGGTCGGGAATCTTTGGTGCTCAAGTTTGGCTTTGTTGGTGCTTCGGACCGTAGGGCGCGCAACTGCGTCACAGCAAAAATAGAGGCAAAAACACTGCGTCACGCGATGGATCAGTCGCGCTGCTCCCGCGCTGCGACTGGAACAAACATCGATTGAACAGTCGCACAGTTCTTCGGCCCCACCTCGCGGCTTCTTCACCCCCCCGGTTCCACTCATGCCTCTAATCTACCCCAGTGGGTCCGTGTGACCAGGGATTCTATGGTATATATATATATAGTTTGAGTCGAATGGGAGCCATTGGGACTCCCAGCGGGCGACCTCGTGGGAACTGCCTGCCTGGATGCCTCTAGATGCCTTGGCCGTCGACCCTCCGCGCTCTCGATCCGCCTGTGCCATGGGCACGGTGCCGCCGTCCCACGTGCCGCAGGTCTTCAAGGCCGCGCACGAGGCCTCCGCATCCGCCTGGCGTAGCACGTTGCCTCGGTAGAGAGAGAGAGAGAGACAGAGACAGAGAGAGAGAGAGAGAGGTTGAGTTTTCCTCTCTCTCTCGCATGTTTGTAGGTCTTAAACTCGAGAAGAACACTCGAGTTTACCCCACCTCATGGCTTCTCACTCATGGTCACTCATGTCAAAAGAGAGTTCCTCTGAAGCGCTTTCTGTCGAGCTCTCAGTGGCACCCCCGACACCGAAGCGAAAAAAAAAAAATACACGTGCTCGGCCTTGCCAAGCGTTGGTTGGCACGAAATGGACCGTTCGGGGCGCCAAGGGCTGTGGGGGGTCGAAAGAAAAGAACCTGAGTGGATCATGGGCACCCCTACGGCACCCTCCATGGATGAAACCAGCACCCTGTCCTCCATGTGACTGCTTGCTCATCGGCCTTCATCAGGCTTCAGCTGTTAGGACATGTTCGGACGGTTACATTCGATATATACTGCAGGGCTAAAGGGCTTTAGGGCCTGGAGTGGCATAGGCCTTGTGGTGCAAAAAAGACTATATATAGGCACTGGACAGGCAGAAAAAAGGTTTGGCTGATTTGATTTAAGATTGTTTAAGGATCAAAATTCTAGTCGGTTTGTCACATCATGCGGACCTTTCCATGGATGTTCAATGTGTTTCAGGCATTTCACACCACCCCCTCGTTGGCTTTCTGGGTGTCTAATGGTGTGTCTACCAGGTTCCAATACGGAACACGGTGACTCCCTTCCGCTGCCACTTCCTGCCAGGCGGCGGATGTACGCGGAGAAGTTGGCCTGGCACCGGTGATGGCACCCTGTGAATGACTGGAAGTGGTTGAAGAACTTGCCACCATGATCATCATGATCATCAGGAAAAAGAAACACACGGCCACAAACACATCACATGGAAGTGGAGGTTTCCAACTCAAGAGGTCCAAGCCGCCAATTTCCGCTTGTCACAGCAGACAGTATATAGACAAAAGAAAAACTCTGGATGCGCACCCACTTTGGGTCGCAATGCCAATTCGATCCGTTTGCAAATGACATCCAAAAAATATCACTTGACTACAACTTAGGATTTGGGCCACCTGGCAGAGGATTCAAAGGCGTATATATGTCTTCTCCTTGCTTGAAAGCGGGGTTTCAACAGCGCAGGCGCCTTTAAAATGATCCACTCAAATGTTCAAAACACCACATCGGTGTGGAAAATGGGCTCCCTTCAGTCGATCTGGATCTGGTCGGACGGATGGATCAGCAACGGGACTGAAAGGTCTGTCCTGTATATCCTAAGGTCTGTAACAAATGTGTCGAGCCAGTGTCAGATCCCTCCTCGCAACCAGCCGAATCCTCTCACCACTCTCGGCCGGTCCGGGGAGACGACTGACTTAGCACCTGGGCGTTCATCTGATCAGAAGGATCTTAACATAAGTGCCTGCACCAGCACCTTCAAAGGGTCACCAATGGAAGCCCCAGCCCACCACGATCAGGCACCTCCAGACAGGACACCCCTTAAAGGTCCAGGTAGTAATTAAGGCACGGAAAGAATCGCCCATCGCGCCTGGTCCTCCTTGGCCGGCAAGAAGTCCAGGAGATTGGCACCTGCGACGGGGCAGCCCAACATGTGCTCCAGCTTCTGCATGTCTCCTGCGGTGCGGGCGCACGGAGGTCGACGGACTGAGGTCGACGGACTGAGGTGCCCGCGGTCTGAGAGTTTTTCGGCCCGCGGGGTAGTGAGACACCGTGACATCGGGGATGGAAATCAAGAGATGACCCCTAGGGCTCCCACCACCTCCTGAGAAGATGGTTGGGGTGGGTGCCAGGGGCCTCCAACCATATCCTCAGAAGGTGGTTAGACCCCCCTGGCATCTTCGAAACGGAGGTGGGCCAGGAGCCCAAACGAGGACAGAGGTCCCATCGTTGGGCTGGGTCCACATGACATGGCTATGAGTCTTGGGTCTATGCCAGCTGCTGCCAGGTGAAACAGTGGATGAATGGTAAAGGCCAACATCTCGAATACCATCACCACTGGGAGTCCAAAACCATTTTTTAAACGGTCTGACTAGGTGATCCGAGGCCGGGAACTTCCTTTACTTGGGTGGCGCCTAAAATAGTCTTTGGACTTCTAGGGTGTGTATATATACATATATATATATATACCTAGAGACTCCTGTGGCAGAAATAAACGCCTTTTTGAAAAAGGCTGAAATTTCTGCCTTTTCTTAAAAAAAACGACTCCACTAAATTCCACTCAAACAAAAACGCCGCAAAAAAAAGAAAACCGCCGTTTCTGATTTGCAACAAAACCTTACCTCTCCAATCCAGTGTTGATACATTCCAGAAAAATCCTGGAAAGATGTTCCTGGTGGCAACAAACACTGAAAACATGGATATCGATGCAACAGGGGGAGTGGTAACGTGTCGTGTTTGTGTTCAAGGAAGTGAAACACATAAAACCCATGGGCCCAAGCAAGGACCTGAGCAAAAAGAACCCGCATGCGCAATGACCAAAAAACAACACATAAACATACATAAACTTGTTTAGATCCCCGACATCCCCACTCCGCGCTGCATCTGACACCCAAGGCACTCCACTACGTTTTTTCCAACCTGGGTCGGCCTCTCCACATCAAATGTCCTCTCAATTTAAATTCGACCAGCTCGTGAGAGCCTCAAGTACCATGACCTACTTCAGCGAACATTTCCGAATGTCTTTGCTCCTTCGAAGTAGAGCACCTTTCTTTAAAAAGTGCCGTTGCAAAAGCCGACGTGTAAGCGTCCGTGTAGCAAGCTTTCTGCTTAGCCTGCAAATTCTCCCTACAGTATCTTCGTTTGGCTCGCAGGCAAAGCAAAGCGGGTTCAACAGCAATGGTGCGCCTCTTTGAAGAGCATCCTTCACAAACTGTGCAACGTGGTGTAGCCCATGAAATTTGGGTTTCAAGCGGTAACCACCAATCTGCAATGTCATGGTACGCCGGGCCAAGGCCTTGTAGCCTCTTAACATCAGCATACATCGAGTATACAAGAGCCGGCCACAAGACCGCTTGATCCATAGCGGATGGGAATGCATAATGTGGAACATTGACTGGGCACTCTCGATGGTATGCTTCAACAGCTTGAAAAACTGCACATGCTCAGGTGGAGAATCACCCCGAGTCAAGAGCAACAGCGAAACTAGCCAAAGCAACCAGCGTAACATCAGCATCGTGTCTGATCCTTTGGAGTTTGTCCATGGCGACGAACTTTTGTTGGCAATGTTGAAGAACTGAACGGTGAATGAACGCAAGCCTGCTTTACACCGGTTTGCAAGGCACCAAAGTTCAAAGGACTTGTGCGCCCGCTCAAGCCTTGAAGGAAAAGCTAGGCTTTCATCTGGAGCGTTTGGGTCATCGAAATGTCCAAGACGAGCTAGGGTTGCAATACTGCTGCCACAAATGTCCCTACCCATGCCAACCTTGAACAGGTGGAAGGGGTCAAGAGTATACATCTTTTCAGGTGCTTGAGCATTGAAAGGAAGCAAGCCCAAAGGAGGGGTGTTGTCCCAAGGCTTCACTGCGTAAAGAGTCTGCAGCCATTGAGGGTTGTTTGCACAATCTGTGAAAGGTACACCGTCTGTGCCTGCAAGGCAAAGGCTGCACATGCCACTCTTTTGTTTACCACTCATCGTATGGTACGATCTGTTGAGGTTTCCCAGCTGCATTTGATGCTTCATGTCCCCCTTGGAGCCTATGCAGCAAGCAAAGTATCTTTGTCCTGGAATGTTTGCTGCAAAAGAAACACATGTAGGGAAACAAACATTTTTATGAGGAAACATTAACTACTGTGAAAATATGCGAAGCAACCAAAGTCCTTCAAACATGAAGCCAGTCTGTAGCAATTCCATCAAGTCCCTTGTCATCAAGAGCACATGCTCATCAATGACATTGCGGTTTTTGCAGTACAGCCAGTGGGGAACTCCAAATAAAAGGTGTCTCGTGGTGAAACTGTGTTGCTTGTAGTTCGTCGATTGCTCAGACGCGTGTTTCAGGAGTGCAGCATCCAAGTCCTGCACTACCTCATCTGAAGGCAAATCCATTGAAGGCATCCGGCCAATCTCACACTCACATTCACATGGCGTGTTTGCATATTTTGCCACTCCTATCGGAGACTCTATCGTGTAGATCAGAAAAACTCCACGTTTGGGGCCCCTGCCTTCATCCCCATACACGCAAAGGGGAATAGTTCGAGACAATTGTTCTTCTGTACGTATATTGAACACTTCATGATCCGGCTCTTGATGCCGGTAGAGCGCCCAAAAAGCTGAACAGTTTTCTTTGGCGAGACCTTCCCCAAAGAGCGACGCTGGGTTCTTTGAAAGCAACACTCTCAACCATGTCGATGGTTTCACCCAATGCGTGGTCACAGCACCAGTCTCAATTTCATGTACAATTTCCTCTATATTCACTGGCAAGGATAAACCCAGTGCCGCGAACTTCCGGTGTAAGTCACGTTCAGCATTGGCTTTCCTTTTGTCTCTATCACGTTCACACCCAGGCTTGGCAGATACAGCAGTAAGGGCCAGCTTGGTGTCCACTCCAGTGACCTGCAGAGCTGTGCCGCTTTGTGAGTGTACTGTTCACTCAATGATGCAACACTGCAATGACAGCTCTCAATATAATATCACATAAATATAACATCAAAATTCTTTGTAAAATCTCTCTAGTTTGGCAAACTCTGAGAAGACAAACCGCTTTGATTCTATGTGAGGAATAACAAAGCTTGAGTACATAAGCTCGAAGGCATAGAATCGGAAACGCGGAACTCACACAAACTGAATCCAATGCTGCTAGTTGAAATTCCTTTCGCAGCACTTCAGCGTATTTGTAGAATGCTGTGCGCAAGTCTGCTGGGACAACAAACCATAACAAATGAACATGACACCCAACTGGTGACTCTCATCCTTTGACATGAACCTGTCACACAAAACCATGTGTGCACCCAAGTGAGACTTGGGAGATCTTGGAAGCACACGCTTGGTTCCCAACTCCATCGCCAAATGATTCTGCAAGCTGTTCCTCAAGAGGCCCAGCCGTTTCACTTTCGCCTGGCTGCATTAGGATCAGGATGAGAGAAGTGAGGAAAAACAACAGTGCGCCAGAAGAAGCTCGAACTCCACCGAAATCAATGGGCACCGCCACACAAATTCTTAGGAGTCACCGTTTTTTCTTTCGCACTTCCACACGTGTTTGGTCGGTGTGCAGCTGGATGCTATTCTGCGTCCTCACACTGCCCTACTCCAGCCAAACTCTAAGGCACCAAAAAGTGGACCATGTTCCATCATGGACATGGCCAACCAAACTTGCCCCTCGTGCAAATGTTGGGCTTTAAGGCTCAGCACGTGATTTGCCTTTTGCCTTGGCTTTCGCCTTCCCCTTCGCAGCACTACGATTCTCAGCCGACTTGGCCGAGGTTTTACCAAGACTCTTCAGAGCACTCCTCAGAGCAAGCGAAAGCCAGCAGATAGTCTGTTTGAACCTCCATCACTTGAATAAAATGTATAGCAATGGGCCCCCCAGCTTCACCCGCGGCAGCAAAAGAGTAGCTTCGATGGCCCTAGGCACCAGGAAAACAATCAAAGCTTTCATTTTGTTGTGAGTGCATTGGGGAACTGGCCATTTCTTGGCATCTTGATGCAGCTGGACCATCTGTTTTTGGGACCTTAGCCGGAAATCTTTCACAAACAAAGCTAAGAAGGAATCTGGGTTTGACAAGCAAATGAAGCCATGGAACTCTTTGGTGAATCCATTGACAACACCAGCCGTGTAGATCTGACCCATTTGCTCATCGGCAGTGGAGAGGTTCTTGGTGAGTTCACAAACCTTCTCCAAGAGCCTGAAATCAACATGGATTACCTGTGACCACAAGTCCATTTGCATAAGTTTTGTCGTTTTGTCCCTCTCAAAATGGCAGTGTTTCTGGTCATCATGTTTCTTTCGATCTCTTACAAGTTAATTGGTAGCCAGGCTACTGAGTAATGAGTTGATTTGGAGAAGCAATTGCCTTCAACTTTTTTTCTTCCTCTGAAAGCTTCTCAACCCTCTTGGTGATACAACGGCTAATGGAAGGGAGAATCGTATAGAGCGGCTTATCCTTCTCCACCTCTGGAAACTTGACCTGCTTAAGAACTTCTTGCTGTGTCTCCGCAGCAGCTTCCTCGAGGCCATCTGAGGATTCACTCACCTCTTCATCGGGCTGACCTAGGCGCCCCAATGTCGCACTACCAAGCCACTGAAAAAGCACGCAACTGAAGAACACCTTCCTTGGAAACAGAAACAGCAGAAATAGATAAACAGTCCAATTCAACCATTTGACCTTCCATCATCTCATCGTCATCAAACATCGCAAATTCAGGGTCCACCTTCCGGATTTTTCCATCCAGTTTTTTCATTGTGGGACCGTCTCCCAGCTCCTCTTCCACCAGCTCCTGAACAATGTCGCGACGCGTTCTCCTTAGTTTTCACATGTGTGTTTGGACGCCTGGAGAGTGGCTTGTTTTTCCATGCGAACCTAATGCAAACTAGGTTCTTCTTCTGTCCTTTCTGAGAGACCAGGACCCAGTAAAGAATCCCCTCGCCGTAATCACTCTTCCTCTTGAAAGCAAAGACGTC